TTTCTTACGAGGCCCAGTCACGGAGTGCGGCTTCAGGACCGATCGGTTATGAACGTGGCGAGCTGCCTCTGTAGCAGGCCTCTTCCACCTGGGGCTCTCTGAATGCCCTGGGCTACAACCACCATCATTCCAGGGGCCACAGTGGCTGGGGATGATGGGCAGCTGCTGGCCAACAGATGCAAAGGGGCCCAGTTGAGGAAGGCTGGTCAATACCGCGTTGGACGGTTTGCCCATGCACCTAGGGGTGCGGGACCCCTTGCAGCCCGATCCCACTTCAGCGCTGCACGCGGGGGCTGCCTTCCAGGGTCAGGTGGGACTGAAGGCAAACGGGCAGGGCCAGAGCTAACCACGCCTTTTGGCCCAAAGCTCCTGCCACAGAACTGAGTCTTGGGAGGGGCAATCCAGCCTTCTAGAAGGGGGAACCAACTGCACAAAGGCTGGAAACCCACCCATAGCTCGAGGTTGTGGGGGAAGGGGTGGGGTCAGGCGAACCTTGGAGGGCCAGAAGGTGCCCCCCTCCCCCGGGGAGCCCAGGTTGGCCCCAGGACCTGGCCGCCGCACCCCTGCTTCAACCTGGCACTCAGACCAGCGGCACCAGTCCAAGGTGCCGATTTCTCGAAGCACTGCTGAGATCACAGAACCACGGAGGGAACCTGCAGGTCAGTTTATGCAGCAGTTTATTACTGGCACATGTGGGTTGTGATTTCGCAAATCTGTGAGTTGTTGAGAACTGCCTGGAGAGCTTTGGCGAGTGGGTGACACAGGAAGAAAGAGAGTCATCGCCACCGCCTCTGCCCAGCCCCATTCGTGGCAGGCTCTGCAGGGCCAGACGCGTCGCAGCACCCGGCCCCTGGGCAGAAGGCCCCTTTGCGACAGGGAAGGGACACGGCCCTCTGCCCATGCAGACCAGTGGGTGTCCCGGTCCTTTCCCCTGTAAGCCACAGTGTCGTGCAGCCGCATTTGGAACCTGGTGCAGCCCGTGACAGAAAGCAGTGGCAGAACTAGGAAAGGGCAGCCAGACTTGCTGGGTTCGTGGGGAACATTGGAAACACTTTTGCTCTTTCTACGAGAAAGGGCTAGAGCACCAGGGGCTTCTGAGTGGGGAGGGGAGCGCATGAGACCCCGTGATGAGACGCACGTAGTCCTGGAAGGGGAGGGGAGAAAGCTGTGGAGGGGAAGGCGATCAACAGCATGTGAACTTGGGGTTCAGGGCCAGCACGAACCTTGAGTACCAGTGCCTTTCTGCTTGAAGGGTTTCCCAGAGGTGTCTGGTCAGCCACTGTGGGAAACAGGATGTCGGCCAAGATGGAGCCATTCCCTGAGGTGGCGGGGCCTTTTTATTTAGCGCTTTTAAAAATATTAAAAGGCCACTGGGGTGGCTGACAATCGACCAGGAAACAAGCCTCTTCCTTCCTGCAGGCTTACCGTGTAAGAAGATACTGCAAAAAGGAAAAAAAGATGTGGAGGGGAGAGGAAGAATAGGGCAGGTGGAATGGCTCGGCTTTCTCTGCCCATACCTGCACTTCCCACTGTGTAGGCTGCTGGATTTGATGCTGATGGAGACACGCCTCTTCCAAAGCATCAATTCTCCATCCTTTTCTGCTTATTTGTTTTGCCTGCTGAGCCAGCCTGCTTTATCATTTTGCAGGTTTTATGGAATATTTGTGCATTTTATCACTGGCTTTAACAGCAGCAAGCCGACCTGAGCACTGGCAGGGTAAGCACGGGGGGGGGGGGGGGGGGGCAGAGAGGCATCCCTATATGAATAAAAGCATCAGCCCCAACTTCACCTGGATCAGTTTTGCACCTTCTTTTAGGAGCCAGTTCTCATACTACTCAAAATGGAGAAGATTAAATACATACCGAGGGATATGCCCTGCTTAAAATAAACAGAGAAACAGAGCGAGTCAGAAGGGGACTCTTGGGGCATCTAGTCTGACCCCCGGCTCCAGCCGGCTCCGCTCACGACATGCCCACCATGTGGACGTCCAGCCTATCCTTGAACACCTCACCGATGGGGCCTCCACCACCTCCCATGGAAGCCCCTTCCACACCCTCGGGGAGGGGGGATATGAAATAAACACACACATGTGCTTGTGATGGACAAGTGGGACGGGAGGCGAGCACTGGTGGTGGAAATAGAGTCTTCTGTAATGACAGACGTAGCGTGTAAAGAAATGTAGGTGCCCAAGATCACATGGTGGGAGGAGTCTGCTGTGCTCACAATCGAAGTGGGATCTTTTTGGGCCATCCCTGCCAGTGAACTGGGACTTCCCAAGCTCCAGTCTGGAATCTCAGGGAACATTTGAGGAAGGCCAACTCAAAAGCCAGGCAGGTTCAATCGCCTGGTTCGGGAAGTGTCTAAGCCGAAGACAAATGGCAGCCGAACGACTGCCTCTAATCTCCGTGGCAATAACAGTTTAGCTAAGCAAATACTTCTGCTGATCCCAACTAGCTATGCGAGGAGGAGAGGGAGAGGTGTGACCCCCAGGAAACAGGGAAAAGTCACCTGGAGAAAAAAAAGAAGTGAACAAAAGGGGTGGTGGGGGGGGGAGAGGGGGGGGGGGGGGGGGGGGGGGGGGGGGGGGAGGAAAAAGCGGAACACAATTCATTGCGGCTAACGACTTGTTCATTATGAGTGATGATGGATAAAGACTTCTCACGCTGAGATGAAATCAAGATTTATATGCATTGTTTCCTCTCTCAACTTGTGGGAAGATCATCATCATCTAATTCTATCTCTGCGGCCAGCGATGGGCATCCGGAGAGCCGGTTATCAAACGGCGCAGTCAGCTGGCAAAAGCTGGGACGTGCGGCTGGCACATCTGGCCCGAGCCGCCAGCAGCCAGGGGTGAACGATGACGTTTGGCGAGGGGCCAAATGGCCTGCAGACGCTAGCAGGTTCTCATCCACAACCGCCCCTACCAATACTGTGTGTTCTCGTTCTCTCTCTCTCTCTCTCTCTCTCTCCCTCTCTTTTTACGAGAATCAGATTTTCATTGCTTCATTCAATTGCTCTCCACTGCCATTTTTTATGGCTCTTATCGTTCCCCTGGAATATGGCCTTGAGACAGCTCATCCGTGTCCTTCGCTGTGTTATCTCTTCTAACTTTTATTAAAACTTCAGCTTTCATCTGAAGATAGCTAATTAAATCCGTGACAGATTATAGACTCGTTTGAAGAAGAAGCTGGAAGGGGGGGGGGTGGATGGCGCTGAAGTCCTTTTTCTAAACAGAACCCTGGGCGGGAAATTATGTTCTTTTCCCAATGCAGTTAAAACAAAAAAGGAGAAATTGGGGGGGGGGGGGGGGCGCTTCATTCATTGAACCAAGACAAGATGCTTATCTCCACCCAGTCTACAGATAGGCTTATATTAAAGTTCTTTGTGGCATGACAAGACCCCCATGCCATTTCTCACCATAATTATTTCTCGATGTTGAGAAAGATTTTCTCAGCCTTAGGGCTTTAAGGACATACCTGTTTTAACATGGGCAAAAAAGCAGTGGCCGGCACAGTCACTGAGCAGGGTGTGCTACAATTAAGAAGTCAAAAGACCACATGCTTCCGTACTTTCAAACCATTAAGTGCATTCTAAGGAGGCTTTTAGAAACAAAGGGAACGTGAGAACTATAAAAGCATTTTCAGCAGGGAAACGTAAAAAGAAAAGGAAGCCAGCAGCCGCAACTTTCCAAGCTACGCTGAAGTTCGTCCCTTCGAATTTTCGCCCTCTAACTCATTCCTGAGTGGACAGGGGATGGGAGACAGAGAGCTGCAAAAGCATTCCATTTGATGGCTATTTTAAAAATCAATTTTGTCATTAACAGTTGCTTTTTTGTTTTTTGTTTCTGTTCTGGTTTTTATATAATTTTACTGTTACTGTTTTATTGTTTTAATGCTATGTTGTAAGCCGTCCCGAGATGCCAAGGCATGAGGGGACGGCATATAAAAGTTTTAATTAATTAATTAATTAATTAAATATTTGATTGGAAGGGCTCTTCTGTTCAGATTAGAAACATGAGAAACGAAGATGCATTGCTTGTGAAAATGCATACAATGCACCATTGCATTCTTGCACGTGTGTTCCAGAATCGCGTTCACGCATGTGCATCTTTCAGGCGCTTGCGAGGACGCAAAATGCTGGAAGGCTTAACCCTTTTGAAGCACTCAGATGGCCAAGCACGAGTCCCTGGCACATCGCCGCTACGAGCCGACGACCATCCCGAGGGTCATCTTGTCTGTCATGGACCCAGTGTGCCCCCCTCTTCCAGTTACCACGAGGTTTGGCGTGTGCTTCATTTAGGAAACCAATGCAAAATCCGACAATGCCGGAGCACACCTGTTTCCCTGTTATTAAGCTGGTTATTACGGGGGTTACTTCTTGTCGTTACTAATTGTTATCCTTTTGTTATTTGTTGCTGTTATCAGTTGTTCTAATTTTGTAAGCCGTCCTAGGAGGTTTTTCTTGTATGGAACCAGATATAAATGTTTTAAATAAATAATCTCAACCGCATTAGACGGAGGCGTAGCTAAGGATTGGTCATTTCCGCTCCTGTTGTCTTTGGACTCTAACTGTCCAAAGTGTTTCTGAACTGTGAAAAGTGAAGCCTTGTTCACATTTTCAGTTTGTTGCAGATGAAGAACGCTGGCCGGCAGTCCTGACACCGACATGGCCACGTATAACGAAGCAGGGGCTAATAATCACAAGTTCAGGAACGGGGTTTTTGCCGAAGATGTTCTGAGCTGCTGACCTGCCTGGGGTCAGAATACCCACTGTGAAATACCTGGAAAGAGGCTCCAACTGGCACTTAGCAAAGAGAGCTGGGAGATGTGCTAGACGAGGGGAAAACCCACGCAAATGAGTCTGTATTTGTGCTGCTCCTTGTGGGGGGGAGAAGCAAATTAGTGATTTTCCATGCCTAGAGAATTTCTCCAGAAGCCATCAAAGCACCCGCAAAGGGCCCTTCCCCCCCTGCCAGAATGCCTACCATGAGAGCCCCCACCTGAGCCTCGCTGCGACCCTTTTCTCCGCTTCAAGGCCTTCTGCAAAATGTCCTTCATGGTGACCTTCATGCTGTCCACCTGGATAAGCGAGAATCCATGCGCAGCATTTCTGCAAGACACGGAAAGGCGAGAGAATGACACACGTGCGCGCACACAGACTCACGCCACATTACTGCGCAACGGTCACCAGAGGGCAGCTTGTGGCAGACAATGCTGGGGGATGCTTTTCAGGCTGGGGAGCTGACGAGCACCACGGTTCTGGAGGCAAGGTGGACGCGGACCGGGCTGAGGGCCAGCCATCCTGCCCAGCACCTTCGGCGGGGTAAATAAGGCAGCTCTCCAAGAAGAGGTTTGCGGCCAGGCTCCCCGAGGTCGCTGTGCTTCACCCCACTTCCAAATGGTTCTTGCAAAGCAGCCCCCAAGGGTGTGGGCAACGATGGGAAGGCCACAGACTGAACGGGAGGATCCCCGGCCCTGCGCTGAGCAGCAGTGAAACATACGGCACTTTTGGGTCCCGATTCAAGTGGCGGAGTTGATACAGTGGGGCTTGGGCTCAGTCTGGATCGGGAGCAGATTCACAGCGATGCTGCAGATTTGGGGCACTCTGACTGCAGCAAAGACACATTTGTTCCGACAGCGTTTTGGCTTTATTTGTACGTCCCGGAGGGAACTGGAATGCACCGACACAGGGGGGCCATGCAAGCCTGACATGGCCTGGTTTGGAAGAACTCTGGGGACCCATACCAGAGGTGAGGATCATGGATCTGTGAGTGTTTCGCCTTGGACTGCCTGAGAGTGGCAGAGAGAGGCTCGATCAGAGGCTGATGGGATTCAGTGCTGCCCCATTCCTGAGGCTGGTGGCCCTGGGAACTGTCACTCCCAGGGGGCCCAATGTCCACACACACTGGGAGCAGTCACCCTGGGAAGAGCTGGGTTTCCTGAGGCTGCTGTTTCCGCCAAGCTAAGGGACCAACGGTGCACTGGGAAGGTTCGGTGCTGCCATATTTTATTTATTAAATTCCCTCTCTAGCCAGAAGGACCCATTACACTCTCATGAAGATCTAAGTGGGCTCAGAATACACTGAATCCTTTAAAAAATGCTTGGTTTGCTGAGCCCTATTCGGAGCAGAACCAAAACGGGCCACTTACTGCTACATGTACCACGTTTCGTTTGACATTTGGCTTGCGTGATGGAACATTTTTGTATTGCAGCAGTACTTAACCACAACAGCAGCAGCAGCAGCAATTGGCATTTGCCTGCGGTGCTCCCTCCTTCGGCCGGTCTGAATGCACCAGAGCATCGGATGAACCAGGCTTGGTGCCTGCTCAACCTCAGGTAGCCGCGGCGTTTCTTAAACCTCCAATGCACTGCAGGACGAGGTTGCTTTTCTTGCAACAGCCCGTCCGCACATCTGGAATCTGCCCCGACTCTTGTTGCCCAGGTGCCTTTCTGGACCCAGGACGTCCATCCGGCACAAAGTAGGAGATCTGCCCCGAAGCAACTTCTGGGGGTTCTTCCTGCCAATCCAAGCTGAGGCAGGGCACAGTTCAGATGCAACACCCTATCATCCTCTTCACCACCACCAGCACCACGTTCTGGCCCAATGGTTTCCACAACAGTGTGTGGAAGGAACTGTGGTCCTTCCGAGCTTCTCAGGGGACCCCTCAGTGAGGTGGCCGTAAGGATGCAAGAGCCCTGCCACAGTAGACCAGCCAGCCCAGGGCTCGGCTCACCATGGCCAGCCAGCTGCCTCTCCCTTGGAAGCAGATGATGCATGCCACAGTACCCATGATTATTCTTAAGAAAACATGTCCAGGCCGCCCTTCAGCAGGACAGAAGTGCTCCCCAGCAGCTGGTCCACAGAGGCATATCCCTCCTGACCCGGAAGGCAGCATCATCCCACCTGGAGCAAGGAGCACCGGAAGGATTTGCCCAGTCCCCTCTTAAAGCCATCTGGACTGATGGCCAGCAGTACAAAGGCTCAGGGGATGCCTCATCTGGAAACAGGGAGAACTGCAGCTCTCGGAACCCTCCTGCCCATGGTCCCCAGCAACTGGTCTACACAGGCACGCTGCCCCGGATACTGTAGGCGGCAGAGGACATTGGGTCCGGCAGCCCTGGTGGTCTTCTCCTCCACGCGTCTGTCCTCCCCCTATTTTACAGGGACCACGAACACTGTCAGGGCTGAGGTCTAGGCAAGCGGCTGCTGAGCAGGAGCCGCAAGGTGGGCATCAAAGGCTGGACCAGTCAAAGGCCGCGAATGCCCATCCAAAAGCCCAGCCTCGGCGGGAAGTCTTTGCAGGCCTTCCCACTGGCGAGAGCCAATGGCTGGCCTGAGCAGACAGAGCCGTTCCTGCAGCTGGAACCCTCCGCCACTCATGGGGATGCCCCCCGCCAGCTCTCCGCAGCCACGGCCCTCCCAGGCGCTCCAGGTTACACATCCCGCCCGCCCCAGTCAGCACGGCCAGCACTGGGAAACACTGCCCACCGTCGTCCAGAGCGCCTGGGCGGCCCCTGCTCCAACCTGCCCCCGCGGTGGCTTCCCAGGCATGCAGCCCCACCCCCAGCCAGGACATTCCTCCTCCTCAGCCCATCCGTGCCTGGCCGCCAAGGGGTCCCCAGCAGCCCGACGCACGCCCGCTCCACCCTCCCTGCCCACCCCAGGCCAAGTGGCCCCCACACGTGACTACCGGCGAGGCATCTGAGCTGACCGTGCGGGTGGGGCAGATGGGCGCTCTACTCTCAGGCTACGGGCTGACACGGAATACACTGCCTCTTCTTTCCTGGCAAACAGAGACAAGACTATGCCATCAAAAAGCTGATCTCATCAATGAAATCTGAATTAAAACACGCAACAGGCTCAAAGGCAAACACTCTGTGCAGTGCTGGATTTACTTACTTTGGCCCCTGCCTTGGACTCCCCAGCCTCCGCATGGCCGTAGGAGGTTGGCTTCGGCGTGTCCTCCCCATCCCCCTCTCCAATTTAATAAATTGCCGTGCCTTTTTGGCCTCACAGACTTCCTGAACAGTCCAGACCTATCTCTGACATTTAAGACAGCTCGGAACAGCGAAGCCGGAGAACTTGGGCTGCAAAGCACGTCGCGGCACCCGCTGCAGTTGCTGGGCCAAACTCCAAAATAAATGTTAAGAAAATGAGCTTAAAGAACGGGAGGAAAGCCTGTGGGAAAACACGGGAGACAGGCAGCGTGAAAGCGGCAAGCGGCAGGAGCCACCGGGGGAGGACACGTGGCCCCCTTGCCCAGAGTGTGCAGGCACCCCCGTGCTCCCGTCCTGAGGAGCTGGGGCAGGGGAATCAGCAGGGGGAGCTCCTGCAGCCCAGCCTCGGGCGCTTCCTTGGGACCAAGGCAGGGTATGAATCGGGAGCTTTTTGGGAAGGCCGCCTTCCGCAGAAGAGATCCCGCGAGCCTGGGCTTTGGCGTGCACATTGCGTCTTCATCTTGTCCGTTAAGGGAGAGCTTGGAGGCTGGAGGTCGACCAGAAGCCTTCGAGAACGCCTCGGATAGGTCACAAAAGCCAAAGCCCATCATCTCCAGCACGCTGGGTACACTGCTTCCCATCATGCTGAGCATGTTCCCAGCCAGCACGGCGGATCCGAACAGCTCGCCGCTCCATGCCAGCTTCCAGGGGAAGAGGGGTCAGGGAGGGCCTCCTGCGGCTCAGGTCCTGCCTGTGGGCTCGTTTCATTATTTATTTTATTTCACGCTTTTGCATGCCGCCGCATGCCTCTCTGGACAGCTTATGCCAGCCACCGCAGAGTGCTTGGCTGCCGGGTGAACGGGATTCTGGGCCAGGCAGGCCTCTGGCTGGTGCTCAGGACCCTCCCCAGCAGCCAAGCAGAGGCCAAGCAGGACAGGACAGGACGGGGACAGGGACCGTTCCTGCCTGCGCTGGCGCCCGCAGGAGCGCGCTGCCAAGCGGCGAGCCTCCGCTTGCCAGGAGACGCCACCCCAGCCTTGATTCTCTTCCATCCTTCCTCACAACAGCCGCTCCCAGTAGTTGAACCTCCACTGGTCTGCCATTCAGGCTGAGGTGCTCAGCAGGTTGTTTTGGGAGCCAGGCTCCCTTTCCCCAAGAAAGCATGGGCTCTGCAGGAGACCTGCCCAGAGCCCGGACGTTCCACACAGCCACTGTGACCAACGCCACCGAGAGACTTCTTTTCCTTCTCCTCCATTTCTAAGCCTCCTCAGAAGCCCGTGGGGCCCACTCCACCCTGAGACTGCAAGTTCTAGCCAAGTGGTGAAGCCTTCCTGGATCAACCATTCCAGCCTGGGGGTGAAGCCACGGCAGAAATGTGCGCTTGAGTATTGCGCCATCTTGGAAATACTTCCACGGAGGAAGGTTTAGCTTGGCCTCTTCCCTGATGGGCCGTTTCTCCCATGCGCAGGGAAGTCCCTGCCACAGGGGAGCACTGGGAACACGGCCGTTTTCCCTATCGGCACCTTTGAGCAGGACGGCCCGGAAAGCCCTGTTAACGCCTAGATTTCTCCTGAGCTAGGGATCGGGGAGCAAAACAATGGCAGAGGGAAAGGCCCACTTAATTGAGCTTTGCTCGTATTCGTGAAGGAACCCCTCCCATCCCTTCCTAGCAAAAAGAGCCCTGGGTCTCGAGAGCAAAAACCTTGGACACGCCTGTGATCTGCAAGCCCCACAGCCTGAAAACTGTCGAGTTAATTGCTCTGATCACCCTGTTACTGAATCATGGCTGAACCGTGGCCATCCTTTACCTCAGAACCTGGAGGCTGTCCCAGAAGCAATCTTTAAAAGTTTATTTTACTGATCAAAGCAAAAAAAAAAAAAGGGGGGGGGAGGGGAATTGCGGGCCAAGGGAAGGGGGGGGGGGTGCGAGGAGAAAGCCCTGCATTTGACTATATTTAGTGGAACTATTCAAGTAAGTGAGGCCTTGGCAGCGGCCGCAACACATAATGCGCAGCCTGAAATTGTAAACGTCGGGATGTTTGTTCTGGTGCCGGGCCAGGCAGGGCCACGACGTCAATCTTGAAGAGTCGAAGGCTGACAGCCAGAGCCTAGCCTGGGGGAGGCGGTGGGGTTGTGAGCGGGACCAGAACTTCCAGCATCAGCACTGGCGT